CAAAGATCTGCTTGAGTTTCTTTGACCATTAAGACAATAAATAAGTTTTAAAATGAATTCTCCCATCTAAACTCCCGCTACTAAATAACTGTATTATAAATACATCTTTTTTCCCCTTTGTCACCTTATCTTTTCTAACAGCAAATAAATGACTGTTTACAAAAAGACATGCTGGCTTTTTTGAGCCAGAATATTGTACAGTGTTGCAGAAGAGTATGGTTTGGCAACCGAAGGATTGACAATCCTGTCAAAATACATTCTGTTTGTCACCTGCAAGTCTGTATTTTAAATGAATTAATAACAGGACCATGTTCATGCCAGGGTCACTGGTCATTTAGGAGCCCATGGTGCAGAATTCCTGAATCAGGGGATGAGTATCCCTTGCTCATGCAATATAACTGTAAAGCGTGTGCTCCTGTTCCTTGCAGCTCTGCTTCCATCCTCAATACTACATAGGTTAAATCCACAGTGCTTCATGTTGGTGAGGGAAGGCCTTGAAGGGAAATGTGACTCTGTGTTCCTAACAGAACTAATACACCTAACATCAGGAGATTACTCAGAGACAGAGGAGGAGTTAAAAAATCTGCAAACCCCCATTAGAATCTCATGTCAGCCCTTTGGAGGCTGTGCACTGGCCAGTGATTTCCTACTCTGCTCACATCACATCCACATCCACATCCACATCCACATCCACATCCACCTCTGGGTATCATAACCTATGTATTATTGCACAGGTCCTAATACTAAGTAAGAAAAAGGCAGTCTAAAAAGCTAAGGCAACCTAAGAACTACTCTGACCTAAGCTGCCTGTTAAGAGAAGAGCCTATATCCGTATCACAGAAAAGCAGTAGAATTATTTCTGGCATATATCTGTGTACATTGTACATACACGCATACACCACCTCCCTGACACTGAATGCTTTCATGACAAGGTCTATATACTCAAACATCCATCACTGGTTATTATAACAACCAGTTTTCTAAGGGACCATAGAAACATTGCCATAGCATGCATGTGTCCTTCAGTTTTTAAAGTAAATCATCATGCTCTTATTTTTGCAATTCCTATTGAAAGTTCACAGCTGAAAGATGCCTCATGAATTAGTGGGATAAGAAGTTATGAGCATTTGTGCCCTCATGAGGAAATTCTATTCCAAAAATGGCTTCAATTGTTTCTCCATTATAAAAATAATAATAAGCAGCATTGATCTAAAAGCTCAGATGACACTTGTTATCTCAGATTTTTCTAACCCAATGTGAACTGCTGGCAGGGAATTAACCACAGATGGTAGCCAGGACATTGGGAGTACATTCACTGTAACAGAATAATTGTGTGGCAACACCCTTGTGCCTCAGAAAGCACCATCCAGTTGCATTCAACCAAGTAAGGCTCTCCCTGCGTTACTAGCAATTTTCACAGGTCAAAACAAGGACCTTTTGACTGTCGTTTTAGCATCACAGGGAACACATTGACTAAACAACTGCATCCCACTTTCTCAACCAGAATAGTGCACAGCTTTGCAATGGTCAGGAGCAGGAGGGGCTGCAAGGGCAAAGGCCACAAAGCTTTTTCCCCTTCCACCATGTGACAATAAATAAATACAAGTAAAAATACCACACAGGGTTCTGGTTCTTTGAATACACCTCTTTCTAGACTGCTCCCAGAGGCCTGCTTTTGGAGATGGCAATTTAAAGAAGGCATTGAAATATCACAGAAATGCAACATTTGACTCAGAGAAACTCCTACTGCAGCCACACTCTGCCCTGGTTGGCAATGGATGACTAAAAGCAGAGGTCAGAAACGTGCAAAAGAGAGAGGCGCGTGAGAGAGAGCATAGGTATGTATGTATGTATGTGTGTACAAATAATACTGCTATTCTAATACCTTTTCAGCTTGGCATCTCCAGGTTGGCCTGAGTGTCCAAGCTTTAGGAGAAGAGGTTGCAGAAAGATAAATGCAAACAAAAAAGCCCAAGTGGGTCCAATAACTGGACCTTGCACAATACCCTTCTTCCCCTCGAGTCAGTGGAGAGCTTCTTACTACATGGTCTGCCTTCTCACCTGCCCAGGGGCTTCCTTCAAAACTAGCTTTGCTTTTAAGCATCACTGGTGCTTGCAAGTTGCATGGCAGCCTCACGCCACCTGGTCAAATGAGGGAAGCTGGGAGAAAGAGACTGGGATGCATGTGGGACTCAGAGGAGAGCCTCAGCCTCTTTTCAGTTTACATGCCAACTCCAACAGCCAAGATGCTTGCATTTGTGGGCACTGAAATGCAACTGGGATTAGAAGAATTCACCCAGATAAATGAATTAGTGAGGCTAAGCTTTAATGACGAAGTTCACAGGTGAGGCTGTACATGTACTTGTGTTGGGCTGGACTTCCCAAATGCTGAAGTGAGGTATTTCATCCCTATTGACTTTTACTTTGAGGTTGGATCCTGGCTGCCCCAGGTGCTTTAATGATCCCACTTTTTGTCTATTGAGCTGCAGAACAATGAAGATAGTGTCAGGGAGATAGTGTCAGGGTGACACGTTACTGAAAATGCTAACCACAAAAGTCAACAAGAGTAGAAACCCCAGGACCAGTGTTTGCTCCTTCTCATGGAAGTGGAAAGGAGGAAAAGACCCCTAGACAGTAGAAAAGAGAGGTAGAAGAGAGCATCAGCTCCAGACTAGCTCACTGATGAGCAGCACCTTCTTCCTCCTCAGAACCAGAGACAAGGCTTGAGCCCTGGTATCTCAGAACAAGGATGAGGAGGAGACACTTGCTTTCTTCTGCCTCCTGGTTCTTCAAACCCACAGGCAAGACCAGGAATGGTGGTCCCAATTCACATGTTACTTCAGCCTAAGCCTAATTTTGCACATACATAAAATACGTTATATAAAGCAGCAGCCTGGTCCCATGTGAGGAGTAAGGCATGCACTGAAGTAATTTGTGGGAAGAGACATCACCCTTTTCAGGGTATGAAGGGGCAGATCATGCCCTGGCAAAGGGCTTAGGTACTTGCAAGAATGTATCTCTCATTAGACCAAATGAATAAAAAAGGCACTCCAGCAGTCCTGATCTCTGAATTTTAAATTGGTATTAACTAACTTGATCTCTGAGTCCCTCTTCAGGAACTCCTCTTCTGATGTCAATTCACAACTACAAAAAAGCCTCCACTGTAAGCTTTCAAAGGAATTGCATCCCCTTGTGGGCAGAAATAATGCCAAACCCCAAGATCTTTCTACAGACAGCTGTGGCCAGCTGGGACTACAGGCAACGTTCACAGGACCAGCTCACTGCTTACGGCCCATGGAGGGTTTTCCCCCTAAACTTATAAGAACAATTTGGCTGTTAAATGTAATGTTAGATTTTATGCCCTAAATGCTTAAAAATTCAGGGATTTCTTATGACTTCAAATTCTGTTTCAACCAAATGCTTAAGCAGGTACTTAACTTCAAGAACCAGATAGTCCCCAGAAGACAACAGTAAATCTATATGGTTCTGCTAGCCCCGGGCTTGAGCTCTGATGGGGTAGAAGCCTGCTGTCTTTTCTCCCCAACCTTCATATTTAACAGGCAAAATAGTTATTCATGGCTTGCACTTGCGTTGCAATAATTTTGAGTCTCAGCTCAAAAACAGCTGCCACAGGCAGTGTCTGTGTACTCACAAAAATTCTTCTTCAACCTAAACTTAACTGCTTGCTCAAGTTTTCTGCTGAATTGGGGTCTTCTGTGCAATGTGCACCCAGGGATAGCTGCTTAATTGTAGTACAACTTTACTTCTCTGCCATGCAAATTCCACACTCATCAGAGTGACTCTCCTTAGTTATTGGATCCACTTCTCATCTCAACCATCCATCCTATTTGTTGAAGCACTGGCCAAGCAAAACTGAACACACCAACAAATTCACTAGTGAGCTTTGTGAAAATAACAGTTCTTCTCCCTTTTCACAGCAAAATTCATCAGCCCTGGAACTCCTGTCCATGAGTGGGGAGGATGGAACCATTCAACACTGAACTACCTATAAAATAACTCAGCTGTTTGAGCTCCTTGCTATGTTTATATAGAGATACCTACAATACAAATGTTTATAGTAATTTTGCATACCCTATATGAAAAAAAATCACAAATAAATTCTAATACTCAAAACTGAATAGTATACAAAGTTAGGGACCAAGTTACATTATAAATGCACAAGCATTAATACTATCTATTCAGCCTAATTTCTTAGTATGCAAGCTTCAGCAATTGCTAGCTACACTACACTTCAGGAGTCATATAAATGTTGGTCATGCCAAAATCTAAGAGGAAATAAAACCACAAAAATTCTCCACCATCCTTCCAAATGATGGACAGTTTTTGACAGATACTGTAATAATATAGTGGTTTCATGAATTTCATTAACACTGTCCAATATTAAATATCAAGTCTGGAACACAGGTGTCTCAGTTCTTAATGAACTCAAAATCAGAGCGGGAGCAACAGGTTTGTCATCACTGTGTCCACACACAGCAAAAGCAGAGACAGTGAGAGTCTGTACCTGGACCAGAGCTAAAATTACCCAGAATAAGGTGAGAATAGGGGCAGCTTTCCTTGCAAAAGGGAGGAGAGGGAGAGAAGAGGGACTTGACACAGCCCCAGTTACAACTGTTGTTGCAGAATAGTTTGAAGAAATAGCCTAGACTCTGTAGCCTGGTCTTGCCAGCACAGTCCTCAGAAATGGCCCTTTCCCCGAAAGCCAGTGATAGCATGTAGGACCTCTGCTAGCAAGAGCAGGTTAGATTGTGCCTGCACAGGACCTGAAGTTGGCTGTACCAATTGGCACATGGGGCTGTTCATTCTCAGTATTCTAATATAAGTATTTCTGCCAACAATTTCTCATGAAGGAAGTGGGTGATTCACAAGTACATCTTTCAGGAAAGAAAAGATCTCACACACTCAATACCCTGACTCAACTACAGCTTACGCTACAGAATAATAAAATCTAGATCCTGCCCTGGAAATCTGTTTACACTTTAGATCATACCACTTTTCTCATCTTGCAAAGAGGTTCGTGAAGAGGATCTTCCTAGCAACAGCTCCTTCTCATGGATCAGACTATCTAGCAGGTCCTCCTGTCTGTAGTTGTGATAAACCTTCAGGAAAGCCAGAATGGTAATTCCTAGCCAAGTCAGCCAGGCAGCCCAGAGACCAAACTAGAGAAGAAAAGAAATGATAAAGAGATCAGCACTATATTGTAATAACAAAGTCGACTCTCCAGGTGAATATCAAAATCTCAGGTGGACCAAAACCCATGGAGTCACACCAAATCACACCCAGTGAGGTCCTGGCCCCACTGTTCCTCCACTCTGTCAAGTTATTCCTAGCTTAAAAGGAAAAACTCTTTATGTACTAGAAAAACTGAAACAAAAATGTACTAAGTATAATAATGAAAAAAGGAAATCTGTATAATCCAGGTGTATCTGTTGAACTTCCCATATCTGACATTCTGGCTAGCCCAAAATTCTTGGGATTATTTCATTTTTGTTACTTTAGAACTGCAAAATGTTTTAAGACATTTTCCAAAACTTTCTTCCCAAGTCCTTCGGGCCTTCCACTACCCCTGGAGAAATATAAATTTTAAGGTATTTCTATTCAAAATATTGTTCAGAAAATCTTACCAATTAAACTGTTATACTCTGAAGTAACCGGTTCACATTAGTATGAACTCAGACAGCAAGAGAAACCCACTCTAATCCATCCAAGTTCTTGGTGGCTCGTTTATACCTGACATGAGATACCTGGGCTTAAAACCTCAGATATGCAATAGGTTCCATCACTAACTTGTCAGTCTGTCTTGCTTAACTTCATAGAAATAATTACACTTTGATTGGTACAGGTACTTGAACGTTGGCCTCCCTGCCTCAGAGGAGGCTTATTTGTAGTAAGGCTTTCTGGCAGAAATTCCATTTTAATTCTGTGATGTCTTTAGCAAAGAAATATTAATTGAATCCCTGTATTTCAGTTTTGACATATTGCATTTTTAATTTAAAAAAATACAACAATTTAAAGACTTCCAGACAATAATACAGCTGATTACACTAATAGCCAATTTAGATAAGTGAGGACTACTATTTTTTAAAGGGACTTTATGTTTCTACATATCTTATGCACTTTGGAAATTCTCTTATACATTTCTGCCCATACTTACAATTATCTCAGTTCACCAGTAAAGAATATTTTTGAGTTATTCTACAAACCTTGGAAATAAGAGATATTAATTTAGCTTTATATGACCATATCTAAAGAATTGGAAGGTTTGCACTCATTTCTTAAGCACCACTTCATTAATGAAATATTATATTAAAAGCATTCAGATATCTGCTACTGCTTTGGTCTTCTCAGCATATTTGATATGAAAGAATCTACATTGATTTAGCCAAATTCAGTGAAACTCCCAGAGTCATTCTGATGTGTTGGAAGCATCTGAATGGAGGAAAGCGGACAGATACAAGGTCTGAGTATGTGTGTCTGTGTGTCTGTACATGCACATATACATGTGTCAAATACCCAAAGCTTTAATTAAGTTGCCTGTTCTTCCCTTCTAGATTTTATCCAGAGCCCATATTTGTAATTCTTAAATTGTCAGCAATCTTGATATCTCCATTCAGACCACTGTTTCTAAGTAAAGCCTAGTGTAGGAAGTTATTGCACTTATAGGGAAATGTTTGCTTTAGCCAGTAAGTCTAGTCTATTCTTGAGGTTTTCTTTCTACTATTTCAAAGAAACTTATTTTCCCTCCATAGACAGCCCCGTTCTCATGCCTTCACCCAGCCCTGCCTACCACACCCCAGATATCAGAAGACAATGATGTGGGATTTTGTTCCCTGCTTGGTCCTTTCTCCAAACACTCGCAATCAGGATTCACTTTAACACTACCAGGTTCAGTTTTTGAAGCCAGTGACTCCCCAGAGCTGTTATGCTCCCAGGCTCATCATACTTGGGTGTTTGCAGAGCTTGGAGGCTGTATCTTGCAGGCTAGCTCTACCCAGGAGCATACGGAAGGACGTGGATCAGTGTGGGGAGCATCCAACAGCTTGGGCTGATCCTTCTACACTGTGATATGTTAACTCTCCTTCAACTTAAGTGCTATGTGCATGAAGCTTGACTTTTTAGGCGTGGGTCCCTCTCAGAGAAATGCTGCCTTCTGCATATAGATTACAACCTGTCCATCCTGAGATCACAGGGTGGACATGGACATTTAGTTCCCATGAACTCAAAGTTATAGACAGGTACCAGGTTTACTTCTGCTACCCTCTCTCTAGCTGGTAGATTCGGGGTTAATGCCAAATTCTGCTACAAAATACAGTCTGTCCTTGGACTAGCATGATATAAAGGGGTCACTTTTATGACATATTTCTATCCTGCATGCAGGTATGTCTGAGCTGGGTGTCTAGATGCCAGTGCTGGCAACAAAGACACAAAAGTGGGGGTTAGATTAGATATTAGGAAAAATTTCTTCATGGAAAGGGTAGTCAAGCATTGGAACAGGCTGCCCAGAGAGGTGGTGGAGTTGCCATCCCTGGAAGTGTTCAAAAAACAGGTAGACATGGCACTTTGGGACATGGTTTTGTGGGCATGGTGGTGTTGGGTTGATGACTGGAATGATGATCTTAGAGGTCCTTTCCAATCTTAATGATTCCTAGTTTTTACTTTCATTATAAATGATCCAGCCACCAAGCCAGGAGGCATGGGGTTGCTACTCTACCCTTAACTGGTTTAGTGGTGGACTTGGTAATGTTAGGTTACTGGTTGGACTAGATGATCTTAAAGGTCTTTTCCAACTTGAATGATTCTATGATTCTATGATTCTAAAACTAGCTTGTGTGCAAGAGGCACAGTTATCTTCAAGGAGTGCCCAGGCAAGCTAATATTTCTTCCCATACAGGACAACATAAGAAGCATGTGTATGGGTGCAGCCCTGCGTGGATGGGGCTTTCCTCCTTGCAGAACTAGTATGTGCTCACATGCACAAGTGCTCAAGTCCCCATGTTCACTGACTTTGAGTGTTGACTTAGAGCTAGCATATTCAACAGAAAAGTCTGACAGCCTTAGAGGTCTAATTCTCAAAGACTGATCAGAAAACAGCCCTATCTAAAGGACAGTAATCTTCAATTATTTTCAATGGTCTGATATTTATATGGGCTCAGGCAATCTCAGACAAACTCATGAAAGGCAAAGCTAACGCCCCCATGATCTGGTGCAGGTCAGACGTTATTCTGAACAGCAATGCAAAGCTCCAGAATATCAGAGTGCTGAAACATTTGCAGAGTTCATCCTTTGGAGCAACAATAAATTTTCCATCATGAATAACAAGATCAGTGGCAGAGCCAGGTTTTGACATGTCCACATTCACTCAAAACATTTTGAATTTAAAATGCAAATGTGCCCATCACTACCATCCTGATTCAGCACTTGCTGAAGTCAGTGGAAACATTCCCATTGATTTCAAAGGATGGTAGTTCAGCTCCAGCAATTCCAGATCTAGGAGCAAATGGCGAATGAATTGGAACAGATCTCTGACCTAGTCCAACCTACCTGTGCAATAGCAAACTGGTCGTAGAAAGCAGAGTTTTCTAAGTTCAGTTCAAGATCTATATCCTGTAACTCTTCACAGCTACCCAAAGAAGGCATTTGGAGGGGAAAAAAGAAAATTATTTCAGAGATTCCACACAGGCAAACCAAACATAAAATGAAGCAACATCTTACATGTGTTTCAAACAGTCACAAGGACATGTTCTATCAAAAGATATTTAAGTTATTGCAGTAACCAGGTTGCTTGCCAATCTTCTCTAAAACTAGGTTAAAAGAGGCATGTAATTACTTTCTTTAAAAAAAACAATGTATAATTATGTAAGTGATAACACCAATCTTCCAAAAGTGGAACTGTAATCATTATTATGAAAACAGTATACTTAAAACCCTCTTCTCCCACTACCCCGAGCCTCCCACATATCCACATCTGGCATCACCCCAGGTTGGTTGTTTCACCCCTCAACAAAACAAAGTGTATGAGCCTCCATTACCTTTTGACTTCATCAGGAAAAGCCTCAGAAGAAAGGATTGTGTGGGTGTTTTTGTTTCAGATGCTCCAGCAAGGAGACGATACTCTGATGGTAAGATAGAGGCTGCCTACAGATTTTACAAATAACTTGGACTTTTACTGGTGTGAAAAAAATCCCAGGATTTTGAGGTTGTCTTTCTATCTCTTGGTTGATTTCTGCAGCCTCTTCTCTCTCCTTTTCAGTGCTGTCGGTCATCTTGGGTTCTTATCCGAATATTCGATTAGACGTTTTTTGTAATTGAATTTTTAACCGAATATTCGAATAATTCGATTAATCGTTGCAGCCCTAAACAGAACATTTACTATGGCATTTTACAACATATGACAATGTGCAACATAAATGTATGCTTTAAATAGTACGTTTATTCAATATCATATGACATAAAATGTCACCTTTTCTTCTCTCTTCATTGTTATTTGTTTGATAGGAAAAAAATCTACCTCAAATTATCATGTTTCCTATAAGGAGCATAAGCATCGTGGGATACAGTAGGCCATTTTAGGAGCTGTACATTTTGTGCACTGTAAAAAAGTATCAACCATCTGTACTTTGCACGTACAAAATATTTTCCATTCTACGGCTCTCAGGGCATCCACAGCACCGCTATGAGGCCAGCATCTTTATACCAATTTTTGGATCATGGTGTGTTGTGGCACAGGTAGGATGAGTGACTTGCCAGACAGGACAGCAGAGCCAGGACAGCAAGCCAGGAGCCCTGACTTCCAGTCACCTGCCCTGCTCACAAGACCACACTCCCCCCGTTCCTACAGCATTTCCAAATCTAGTTCTCCTTTGGAAATGAAAATTTTTAAACTAATGGATTTCTTTTTCATTTGATCGTGACTCTTAAAGAGACCATGAAACACCATGGAAACCATACTTTTCTTTGTGGGGAACTAAACGCAAAAAAAAGTTTGATTTGCTTTTTTTGTTCCAGATGAAAAAAAAATCTGGATTTCCACATTACAGATGCCTTTTTCTCCTTGCTCACCTTGCATGTAATAACTACAGTTTGTAACACCATTGTTCATTTGTGCATATATAAAAAAAAACAAAGGAAGAAAATGTATTCTTCAATACTAACCTATTTGGCATGCTTCCTTTTTCGGTAATTGCATCACACCACATGTTAAATCCTACACTCACTATAGTGCTAGCAATAAATGTGATAAACACCACAAAGGCGCTGATCAGCAGATTCAGGAAGGCATAAAAGAAAGAGCTGCAATAAAAAGGAAGAAAAATGTAACTCATAAACAGCTGAAACACAACATCAGCAGTCTCTTTAAGCAGCATACACTGGGCACAAAGATATCAGTTTCCATTTTAACCACATCTGCTTTAATTAAGAACACCTAATACATTGAAAAACTATGGATTGTGATTTTGAGTCACATTATCTTCATTTGTAAGTGCTTTTGATTTTGATTTTTTTTCACCATAAGAGGATGGGGCTTTAAATCATAAATACTAAGTGGCAATTGTTCATACACAGCATGCCTTTCATTAGCTGTAATGATGAAAATCACCATTGTTAAAATAAATGTCATTAGCTCAAATTATATAGTAACTGGAGCTAAAATTATTTCATGACTAAAGTGATAATTTGGACAAAAAATGCCTAGGAGAGGGAAACTAAAAATAAAATAACACATACTGATAGCTATAATCATTGTAAGCAATGTAACACAAGGTGCTGCCATCATTGGACACGAATCTCAGTTTTATGGGCAATTCGCAGAGCAGGCCAGCTTCTCCTGGGACTTCTCTGGCTTTGGTGTCAGTATGTTATTTCCACCAGCTGAACGTAAATTTACTTCAGCCCTGTTAAGTCTGCCCAACTAGGCCCAGCCCTAGGCACGTGCTGTGCTTGTAGTGGTAGGGGTTGCAATGCTTATGGTGGTCCCATAAGGCCAAGGAATTGTCTACTCCTCTTCCAACCTCGCTGCTTAACTCTCCCCCTTAACTGTATTTAGTGAAAACTTTCTAATCCTTTTCTCATTCATCTGACCAAATCGTTCACTACATGAAACTGCCCTAGATAGCTCTTGGAAAGTCTCATTATCTAAAAACTGGACATCTGCTCTAGGCTGGAGAAAGACTGGCAACTCCAGGAGGCAGGTCATCCTCTTCAGGTTAGGTGGTGAGGATGAATATGACAAATTTCCCACCCGTGCCACGCTCATTATGCTGAGGATAGAAGGAGTCTATTCACCCCAGAGAACAAAAAAGCAGTCATTTCTTTTCCCTGGTGGCTCATTAAATGAAAAGCCAAGAGGCTTTTTGAGTCAGTGTTTGAATCCTGGGAAGGTTCTGGGCTGGTCAATCCTAATATGTACAGGTTAAATACATGGTGAGACATATGTGACCTCAGGAGGACTTCTTTAAAATGAGATGAGGAAGCAATTACCAGTGGGGTTAGGATATTTGTCCTGGGTTGACATGGCTTTAGAGGGGCTGTCTAGGCTCTCTCCAAAGTGACAGTCATCCCATCCCAACACTGATAGAAAAGAAGTGAAATAAACCACCTTCCAGAAGTGCCCTTACAGACTGTAGTGGGAGCTGGACGCCAGGACACCTGACTTCTAGATGAACGTTGAGATGAATCCTACTCTTATCCTTTGGCTTCACTGGACTTGGTGGACTAGATCAGCTCACCTCTGCAGAGTGCCGGGGTCACCCATATCGCAGAGGGAGCTGGTACAAGCACACCATGGTTTTGCATGTTCATTGTCCCTGCCCTGATTTCACATCTCGCCCAGATTTCATCCCAAGTGTTGCTAAAGCCGTGTCCACTGTGTGCACCTTGGCATAGTATGCTGGTCTGACAGGCAGAAAAGTGTTGAGCTGTCCACTGAATAAAAACAGAGTTGACACCAGAATTAGTAACAGCTCTAGAAAAGGAACAGTTCCCAAGAGTATTCAGTGGATCATCACCAGTGTGGGACCTGTAGTCCTCCCTCTGCTTCCTACCCTGCAGTACAGAAGAGGTGCCAAGGTCCAGAACTGGACCTTCCACTGACAAAGCAGGGCTGAGTGTTGCATTTGATTTGCACTGGGCAAGCAGTAACCGTCACCATGTGCTGGAGGTTCCTCAGGCCAGGGCATCCTGGTAGAGAACCATGCTAATTGGGCTCTCTACCTCACCTATTTTTTTGCTTAGATCGGAATTTCAAGCTACACATTCCAGATTGAGTGGATGCTCTGTAATGATGAATGTTTACACTCAAAGCAGAAGTTGCTTTGCAATCCTAATAGTGAATTACCTGAGTTGTACCTCTACCTTTCAGCTGAGCTGAATAGTCCCAGGCCCAGAGCAGGGCTGGCAGCCAGCGCTTGCTTTTCCTACTCCTGCAGGCAACTTAAGCTCAGTCTGTCCCTGAGGCAAGGGGTGCTGAGACCCTGTTAAGAAGGATTTTTAGCAATCCTATCTGATAGCAATCAGTCGAAGCCATTGCACATGAAGACTGGCCATCTTGCTAGGATACATAGGGTTCTAACCCTGACTTCCTCAGGCCAGCTTACTCCAGAGCTGCCCCAGCAGCAGTGACCCTAAAGGGACAATGTTCAGAGGCCTGTCTAACAGTTTGGAACTAAATAGCCATGTTTGGAAGCAGGCCAAACATCTGATCCGAATTTCATTATTACAAGGTTTTTACTGCTGGTTTCTTCCAAAAATTAACTAGTTCTGAACTGCAAAACTGAAAAAAGCCTCTGGATTAAACTAATCCTCTATACGTGGCTGATCACTTGAGGAAGCTGAATTTAAATGTATTAAGAAGTCCATGGTTATATTTAGATCTTATAAGGTAAGTTTTAACATGGAAGTGAGTTTTTGATCTATACTTGCTATAACATGCTTTAGTGTTAGGCAGCTTGAGAGTGGTCAGAAGGAGCCAGAGAGACAACACTGCTATGATTGCTACCCCAATATTACCAACTTCAGGGTGTTCTGTTACAATGTCAGATGTGCGTAACAGTCGCTGACCCAAGAAACCTCCAATCCAAATAGACCTGGACACAAGTGATTTACCCTTAGCACAGTCCCTAAACCATGGGAAAATGGCTTTCCTAGTCTAGCCAGCCACCAGTGCATGCTCCTGCCTCCCCACCTCTGTGCAGCTGGATGCTTGGAGGGCCCTGGCCCTGTAGCACTTGCAGGCTGGGTTACCTGTGCCAGGGACTGTACCCAAGGTGGCAGGACGGGCCACCGGAGAGCCAAGCAGAGAGCACAGCGCTCCTGATCTGCTGCCTGGACCACGAAGCCTCTCACTATTCCTTTTGTCTGAGCACACTAACCACTGAGAGTGCAGCCCTGCGTCTGCTGCAGGGAGCACTCAGCGTTGCTCATGTGTCGTAACCAAGCAATAGGTGTTCTCTGCAATAGTTACCATGTCCGCCACAAAAGCAGGATAAAAATAGAG